CAATATGGTTCATGGGGTCACGAAGAGTCGGACACGACTTAACGACTAAACAACAAATGATGCAGCAACCTTGCTGCACCAGAGAAGTTCTGAATCTGGCCAGCACTTGGACAAGAGGTCACCTGGGAACACTGTGGGAGGCTGCCTTGACTTCCATGATGAAATAAAGACTAAATAAACAAATAGAGTAACATAAAGTAATCAAACAAACAAATCTGGGATTTTATAGAGACCTAGCATCTGCTCCACTATACCCTGTTTCAATCTGCTGTTTTCTATATCATCCAAATGCATGATAATTCCTACCTAGTATGGCATTTAGAGACACATCTATAGGGAACCTCTCCGTCACAGAAAGGAAACTGAGGCTAAAAATAAGTCAGTTGTCTAAAACATGTATTGAATTTCTGGATAAGACAAGAGTTAAATCAAGAGCTCTGTGATTTTTGACGGAGGGGGGGATAGGCTATTATGCAAGACTGCCTGGAAAACTGCCAACATCTACAGCAGAAGAAACACCAGAAAAGTAGATAACAGGATGAAAGGGGAATGATAGCCAATGAACCTACAAACCCTTGAAAACTGAATTAATGTCCTTGGAATAGAAGGACATTAAGTGATAAACAATTTAAGTGATATCCAATTAGAGACAATTTAAAAGATATTTGTCAGGCATAACAACTGGATGTGCTCTGCCAAAATATAGAGGCTTTGGGTTTGTTTACATTGTTGAGTTTGATTTTGTTTCATTTTTTTTGAATCGGGCTAAATCTATATTTGGATTGCTCATGGTGGGTGGAAAAGGCCCACAAGCAGCTGAAATGACCATTTCAAAAATGAGAAATTCTCTGAAGCAAGTACTGGCTGACCAGTGGCAGAGCACTGCACTGTGATTACTAGTGGAGGAGGAAAAATCCATCCACATTAAAAACATAAGGGGACTTAACTTGCTTAGACAAACATCTGTTTGTTTCCTGATTTAGTCTTGCAAAGGAATGTCTGGATTAGAGTTAGTGTGTGTGCAAACATGGGTAACCCTCCCCCTGCAAAATGTTTCTACTTAGTTCTTTTTGCATTTATACCCAGGAAACCCTTTTCTAGTTTGCCATAAATCATAAATGAAATGGAAAAACAAATGAATTGCTTGAACCTAGATACATTTTTTCAGAACAAATGGGGGGAAGGGGAAGGGGAAGCAGAGCGAGAAAGAAAACCATTTACCATACAAATGTTGAGACAACAAAACTTATCCTGAATGTCAGCAAACCTCTCCTCCCTTGTAAATAATCTTTATAAACAGGAACTGTTTCCAAAGAACCTTCTCATCTGAAGATTTTATATTTATAGTTGCATTTATAGAATTTGTGCTGCCAGCTGCATGCTCCAGTAGACGAAAAGGGAAAAAATATGGCCAGGATGTTTAAATCAACTTTTTGGCTATTTTATTTTCTGGGAAATGTTTTTTACCTACCCACAGGGCAAAATGGTTATTGAATGGCTCCACTGTGGTGGCCTTCCCTGTTGCCAATATCTTTCCTTTTTCTGATTAAAGGACTGAGGGTCTAGAGATCTGTTGGGCATCCTTCATTGTGAGCAATTGTCCTCTTTATCACCCAGGGCCATGTGAAGATTCAGATATGTTTTGAATGCTTGGTGTTTCATGCTGAGCCTCACATCACAGGCCAGCATCTGGTTACAAACTCAGCCACTGAGAAAGAGAGGCAGTATTTTAATCCTTTCATGATCTAGAGTTCTCTTGGCATAGCACATGAGTCTATCTTTAGGGACTGTCATTTAGCTACTCAAAAGAAAAGTTGGTTTAGAGGTTTGGCTCAGCTTATGTCAATATCAAAATCTTATCAATTCAACCCCATCCCCAAATCTCTCTGAAATGCTGCCCACTTGTCCAGGTTTCCCCAAATCTCTTTCATAGTTTGTTGTTTCAAACAGCCTTTTCCTCTGTGGAACAAAGCTCTGTTAGTGGGAAGGAGACCAAGCTCAAGGCTTCTCTGGGAGGACGACTAATGCACGCCACAACTGCATTTTATTTATGGTGCCACAGTTCTCCATTTCCCTTATTCTTCCAGTCCACATGAAGGGGATGAAAATAACCTCACCGAGGGTGAAATTCTATGCAGCTGTTTGCTCTCTCTTGGGGGAGATCTGCATAGGCATTGTATCCCATCAATGTGGTGACTGTTTCACAAAATGAGGCACATGCGCCAATGCATTCTACTGATCCAGTTTCCCCTCAAAAATCCATTGTCCTCTTCCTGTTTTATGATCTGTCTTTTGGGCAATCATGGCTTTCCTAGTGCAGGAAACAATGTCTTCTGAAGTGTGGCGTTAGTGATTTGCTGGTGAGATGCCCCTGGGAAGAAGCATTCTGCTTCTAGAAACAGGGAAATCAAAGCAGGAGTTTCCAGTTGGCCTTGTGAAACAGAGGAGGACAGATTGCAAAACTGATGAAAGAGCAGGCAAGATACCCAACGCACAAGGTGAGGGTGAAACGAATCCCCTCTCATTTCTGGATTGACTGATAAACAGATTGATAAGCAGGAAAAAGGATTCCCACCCCTTTAAAGTATTGATAAGCAGAAAAAGGATTCCCACCTTTTAAAAAAAACTGCATCAAATGTGCAAGAACGAAAGAATGATGGTTTGAAGACCAAATTTTTCAGATTGAAAACTGGACCTAAAAATTTCAATTTTACTGAAGCTTTCCATTGCAGTACTATTTCTTGCCAAAAATACATAGTTGTTGTTGAACCTCCTACTTCTCCCACAGCTGCAAGTGTGTTTCGTATAATGTGCAACTAATATTTCAATGTATTGTTTGCTATAGGCCTACTAAGAATCACTTGTGCTTTGGAATATTATGGTGTTTCATATGGAAATGGTTCCAGTATCAGCCCCACCTAGGTCAATCTGCCCAATTGAGATCTTTGTGGACCATCATCCATGGATGGCGAATGAGATTCTTGTTTTCTTTTTCCCTTCTGCATCAGAAGGAAGGAATGACCTTCCACTTTCCAATTATAGTAATTAATGTGGATTGCAACAATCATTGCAATAGTTTATAAAGTTAATTTCTAAGATTTTTTGGCATGCATTTAGGAAGGTAAAGCAAGCCTCTCCCCCCCGCCCACCACAGCTCAGCCATTTGCCATTTGCATATATCATAAGGTTTATGAATACATGATATATGTTTTCCTAAATTAAATTAAATTAAAATTTCCAAAATGGTTTCCCCGCTCCCTTAGGAAAATATAAAATATTACACAACTTAGATGTCTGTGCAAGTATCACCGGAGTGGGGTGACTCGGGAATAAATTAGTCTTGGTGCAGAGAGGTAGGGCTACCTATTGAGAAAAATAATCCTGCCTGCATTGGTGACAAAGGAGGCATAGATACCTTTCCATCATACACTTCAGCTACTATGTGATATGATGCATATATAAATAGCGCCCTTCATGGGTTATCTCTTGCCCTTTCAAGATGATTCTGTGTACACATATCCTTATAAGGCAGATGATGGTAAGTGAGGGAGGATGCCTGTTCATTTACTACTCAAACAACATTAAATAACCCAGTCTTTTCTTTAATCTTAATTTATAGAAATGTGCCCATATTAAGAAACCAACCACGCCTGTAAAGAGAAATGGTTGTCCTATAAGCATTAAAATATATCTGCTTTTATTTCTGCCAACAAATTATCACGTGGTTTTCAAAACTTGCTAGTCGTTGATTCAGCTAATAGCTTTTATGTTAAGGGAAAGGTCTGACTAAGGTTCAGCCAGTCTTCTGGCTTAGAACAGGAAAATGAGTAAAAGGAATGAGAGAGGGAGAGGGAGAGAGAGTTTAAATAAAGTACAAAGTTGGGAAGACCCACAAAAAATGTTTCACATTCCATACTCCCCACAAAGGGCAGGTCAAGGGAAAGGGAATGAGGGGCTGAGCATGCCACAGATGTTTTCAAAGCGTTGCACAGCACAGTTGATCTGGCCACATAACAGCCACATGAAATCAGAACACATTGGTCTGGAATATGGCAAACGTCTTGGGTAACTGCACACTGGCAAGATTGGATCAAAGAGTGGAAGCTGAAATAACATATTTGTGAGAGCTGCTTGCGCCCTGAACACCAGATGTTTCGAAAAGGAAGAACTGTTGTTGAAGGTGAAATTCTGTCCAAACAATATAAATTGGCTTACCATGTTGTGTGCATAAACTGTTTAAGGAGCTTCGTTTAAAAGACTATTGTTACAGGCTGAAAGAAATAACAATACATTCTGATTTGGGACTGTGTTTTGCTGGGAGCTACACCAGCCAGAATGAAAAACCTGGAACTTTATAGAAAGTACCTGACTCTGAGCCTTTGGCTTTCTTTCTTCCCACGTGCTAACATGAACAGGATGTAGCTCCCAGGAAGAGGCTTTACAGAAAAGGTGTTGATATGTATTGTCCAAGGTGTTGATATGCTCATTAAGCAGAGACAGCCATCTTTTGAGCCAGCCCAATGCTTCAGAGGGTGCGGTGGTTCTTTCTAAACCAAGGTCTTCTGCAAGAAAGGGGTTCAAAAAAGTAAAGATGGAAATCACAACTGCATGCTTGAAGGCCTGCCCTTTATTTACATGTGTTGCATTTTAAAAGGTAGCAGGGCTTCAATAGTGCAATCAAGGCTGTCATATTTATGTTTGCTTTTTTACTCCCACCCTCACTCTTGCCAATGCCCTTGTTGTTGTATAGTCATTAAGTTGTGTCCGACTCTTCGTGACCCCATGGACCATATCACGCCAGGCCTTCCTGTCCTTCACTGCCTCCCTGAGTT